TGAAATAACTGACAGTTGCTGAATCCATATTTCATCTTGGAGGATGGACTGACTGAAACCCTGTGTGGTTAAAAATGGGCCAGATGCAATATGTTGTTCAAAAAGAGCAGCTTTTCCTTTGCAGACACCAGATGGAGGCCCATCTATATTATATAAAAGGTGTTTTGGAGCATAGTGCTGTGTGTTTTGCAGTTGACCTTTACATCACATTACATCAGGTCAGTATTTACTACATTTGTATACAACCCTCTCACCATCTTCTTGACTATGATGATTTTGGGTCCCAGGGTTCGACTGATAGTAAAGATGGCCATGAGACGAAGGCAGAAGACCACAAAGTCAATGCAGAGGAGGATTTTACCCGCATAGAACAGTTCAGATGTCAGCCTAAAATAAAAAAATAAAAGGTGGTTCATAAAATAGATAATCCAGCGGGTGGAGAGCACTACTATGGCCTAAAGTGTTTGTCTGGAAGGAAGGAAACTCACCTAAAAGCAAAACCGATCACAAACAGGAGGATGGACAGAACATCTAAAATATTCCACAGGTCCTTAATGTACATCCTGGCTTTCTTATGAAACCCAAAGCCATCAGGATCATCAAACAGCTTAGATGAGAAAAAGATAAATAATGTTTATAACCAATAACCAAAGTTCTAAGAAAGCCTGGTACAGAATGAAATAAAGGAGGAAACTATGACTGTAAAGTCTAATGCTTTTGCTCCATCCAGATTTACAGTAGATATCAGCCTCCTGGTTTATCCTTCAAACATTTGTACATGTGTCCCAGCTGCCATCTCTCACCTGTCTGACCTCTTCACACACCAAAGAGAACAGGCAGATGTAAAGCAGCAGCTCCCCTGCAGAGGGTGTAGCCTGGAAGTCCGTTGTCAGCACCACCGCGAACAGTAAGAGGAAGGCAAAGTAAAACACGATATTCCAGTAAAATTTGACCTGTGGGGAGCTGTATAGGGAGACCAGTCTGGACCAGCAGCCTAGGGGTTTCAGGCGCCGGTTGGTGGGCTCACTGTGCACAGAACAGTCACTGGAGTTAGAAACAACATGATGCTTACATGTGGATTCTTTTCCCAAGTGACACTTAAGACATTTATTTCTTGCTTTTTGCTAAATGACCTGTCAGTGTACTCCATGTCTACTTACAGGCCATGCCAGTTTGTTTGGAGGGTACTTCCTGTCACTACTCTCTTTATCGCCTCACTCTTCTCAGTTTTTCTCTGGATGGCTTCATCACGTCTATGGAGAATTACAACACTGTTGACCACGACAAGAGAAGTAGCACAAGCAGTAGCACAGATACATGAATACATTCTGATACGCTGCCACCATGTGGTGTGTACAAATAAATGTGTGCATTGGTTAAGAAAAAGCCATAAAGGCATAAACACTGCTATATTACCCTAGTTTAAATGTGATTACTTTGTTATCATATACACAGTTACAGAAAGTGAAGCAATGATTTTTGTGTAGTTTCTCTAGAAGGAATACCTTTATTTCTGTGGAAGCTGACAGAGGCAGATAAGGACTCTGCACTGCCAAAACCTCTTCACGACATTGATATGGTTTTTTTCTTGCAATTAAAGCAACTGACTCCATTCGAATATCATAAAACAACAGTAAGGTCAGTTAATATAGGCACATTGTGAGCAGATTGCTAACTGCCCCTAGTAATCTATTTCTTTTTTCATGTGACACTTCTCTTATTTTGTCCACCCCTTTATGCCCAGGGTACTTGGGCTGGGTCAGTCACAATACAGTAACTCTCTGTTTTAAAGATTACTGAGCACAGTGACATCTTGTGGAAAGTTGTCAGAAAGCTGATTTTTTTAAACAACTGATAATAGTGACCTGAAAACCAGAAAGCCAGTATAGATAAGAGGGAAGAAGACCATGCAGAACATCACTCGCCACACAGGATTGTCCACTGAAAGTTCACCACACCAGATCTGAGTCAAAAGCACCTAGAAGACAGTTAGCAGACTGGGTCATACTGTATCTGCAGCATTTAATGGTGAGATTTAATACCCAAGACAAAATGTATAGTCTCATTTATCAGGTTAAAGTTACATGTTTCCTGATCAATGGCACAAATGATTCGGTTTATCAATCAAAGACAACTCTGTCCACTGTTCTACCTGAACACCTGACTGAGCTACAAAGCTTTTATCGTCAGCCTCCAGTGCCAGCCTCAGGCATGTTGTCCTTCCCCAGAACGGTGATGCACGAACCAGCAGCTTCTGAGCACGCTCCTGATCACTGCTGTGGCATTCGCTGAACACACCTGGGACCCACACCCACACAATGAAGGTAAATGCCAACCTTGTAAAACATTTTACAGCAGTAAAGCCACTCCTTATATCTGTAGTATTATACCAATGGCGTGCTTCTCATAGTGACTGGCAAGCGCCTGCATGTCCTTTGCCTCGTCTGCATCACTTCCTTCCTCTGCCATTTTCTTAAGGATCTTACTGGCCACCAGAGCAGCGCACATGCAGTCTGTACACTGCACAGACACAAACACAAATACAGATACAGAAAGGTTCAAGGCCATATTCACACACCACACAACTGACTATTTTCAAATTCTGTATAAGTGTTTTCATCACCTGCTCCCAGGCAATTTCAGCCAGCTCCTTATTGTTCTGGATGACAGCCCAAAGGAAAAGGTCTCTGCATGGGTCCCTCTGTGCCTTATTTTCAGACTGATAGAGGAAAAAGTAAAGGACTGTGTTTGCATTAATTGAATAGTTTATGGTCCTAGCCAGGTTTTCATAAATACTGCTGTCTTGTTTATGCCCCACACAGTTTTGAGCAGTCACTTTTTTGTATTTCATTGTTTCTTCTAACTGATCAGTTATATATCCTGTAAGTTTTTTTTCCCATAATGAAGGTCTAAATATCCTCTCCACACTATGAGGAAATTAATTCTACTATCAATTAATGTATTTTTAGGATCAAAAGATGGCTCATACTAGAATAATGGAAGTCCAGCACAAAGCATTGTTTAGTTTTGGTTGCCTAACTCAAAGCACCGTAGATGATGGATAAACATGTTCACCAATACAGGTGTGTCCTCCATCATCACCTTGGAGTTGTTCGTCGTGGTGGACCAAGGGTAGAGAGGCTTGGTGAAACTGCCCAGCAGGTATCGCACCTCTTCAGATACACGACTCATGGTGTAGATTTCGCCTTGCTCTGAGTCTGCTCGCTTGGCCAGCTTGCGGAGAAAGAAGCAGCTGGGAAGATGTGTGTAGAGCTCACACAGAGTTTGCTCGTCCTGCAGGAAGTCCCTCACACTCACACCGGTTTCCAGCAGCAGTCTCACAAACTGAGGCTTGTTTCCAACCAAGGCTGAGCGCATGGCCCAATGGAGCTCACTGGACTAGAGGACGATAACATGGAAAGACATTGTACATTGTACAGTTCATACAGTATTAATATACAGCATGTAATGATCAAGAATACAACAATATCATTCATAACCAGAACAATATATGTCTGAAAATATGCGCCCTCTAATATGAAAATGTAAATCTAGGTTCATATGAACTGTACACTGTATATAATAAGTGATCTGATGGATTTAAAAATGTAAATGTTGCAGGTAATATAGGTTGATCCAGAGCAACATGAATGCTTAAAAGCATACATCTGCTGCTGATCATGTAAAGAGCTAGCGATACCTATATACAGTATCTGATCTTAATAATGATGAAAAGGGTCAACACAGGGTTTATTTTAAATCAGAGGATGGTTTCACCTGGGATACACTGCAGCTGGTATTTGTATTATGTTGTATAGACACACCAACCTCCCACTGGCTCTCCTCAGTGAAGATCTCAGTCTTAGCTAGGTCCACTCGGTTCCAGGCGATAGCCAGCTCCAGCTGGCTCTTCCAGTACTCGACTCCAAGTGACTCATTGGTCTTTGAAGCTGAGTGCAGAATTTATATTGACAACATTTATTGTATGTGACAAGTTCTGTTTAGATTTAGTCAAAAGACTGATTGACTGTTGGATATCTCAAACCTCTCTGCTACAAGACAGTGTCTCTACATACAGTATGAAATCAGCCATTTTCCTCAGTCAAGACATTTACTATCTAATAACGCAGCTAGCAGCCAATTTGTTTGATGATTATTTGTTTTATTAATGAATAAATTGTTTACTCATAAAATGTCCATCACAGTTCCCTACAACTGGAGAAGATGTTTTTCCAATAGCTTGATTTGTCCAACCAACAAAACTCACAAATATTCTGTGTAAAATGGAGAAAAGCTTATTATAACACTATGAAATGCAAAATTTATAATAATTTAAAACTTAAAATAATATATAAAATGTAAAATTTCTAACACTCTAAAATGTAAAATATTATTTAAAGAGCCACACAACGTGATCAGGCAGCACGTAGCGAGGCTGCCTGACCAGAGACAAGAGGATATAGTGGATGTCAAACAACAGCTGAGTCAGCAGGATGACTCCACAGAAATGCACGCTCATTACGCCAGAGGATCTCAGTGATAGAAATGAAGGGCAAGAAAGATGAATCATTATCAAAATATTAAATGAAAGTCCAGTGTGGTGGACTCACTTTTCGTTAGGTGCACTTTGGCTCGGTGTTCCTTTATAACACTATACATTAAACTTAGCAGGAAGCACTGCATACTTCTAAATATATCAAATCTGCCTATCAATATCTCTCTGTAAAGAAAATCAACTCTTAAGTCAAAAATTTTATGCATCAATATCTGTAATGGTTTCTGATATTGGCTTGTTTTATATCTCAGTCCAGACATTCAGATTTCTGAAAGGCAACATTATACATGCTGGTCTGACACTTAGCCGGTTCATTTTTATACTTAATGCTGTGCAATGTGTTAACGCTGTTGTAAACCTACAGTCAGTTGACTCAGAGACAGTATTAAACATCTTTCAGAAAATCATATTCCTACCTTTAAGAAGGGCATGAAGAATTGCCATATCCACATCTGAGTGAGTGTCCTCACTTATTCTAAATATTGTCAGCAAGTGTGACTTTCTGATGATGTCCTGAATCTGTAACAGAAAACAAATGGGGTGTGGTACAGTAATAATTTTTTTATATAGCACTTATCAATTGGCAAAAGAAAACATCTTTAGAAGGGAGCTGAAAGCTGATACTAAATTACCAAGCACAAGTTCTTCCAGAGAAGAATTACAAAGCAAACTCTGTAACCTCTATTTACTAAGTTCAACTTAGGAAATGCCAGGAGACCCTTAGGCTTTGATTTGGCACATAGAGCCAGAACTAGACCCATCTGTCAGCACCTCACAAGCTCACGAATTAACACACTGCATCTTTTGTTTAATCCACACAGAAAATTGTTGGATGTTCAGCTCAAGTCAAGTCAAGACAGATAATGTGAGGGACAAGACTGCTATTATCACAAAGTTTTGCTACTACATACAATTGAATGTCAATGGCATAAAAGTTAAGCCAATAATTTCCAATTCCCAAGGGGAAGCATGCTAACAGAAAACATTAGTGGACCTGAACCTGAGTCTTGTGGCACACCACAACTGAGACAGACAGAATAGAATGAAGTGGCCCACCATGCTCCGTGCTTTTAAATCAAATGCAGCAATAAGGTCCAGAAATACTCATATCAAATGCAACCAAGAAATAATTTGTAACCCTCAGGAGGGTGGTTTCTGTGATGTGATGAGATTTAAATCCACTTCCACCACCCACTTCAATCCATTTCTGAAAAATGTCACTGAATTCATGAATATGTTTTTTTTGGAAAGCAACAGAAGTTTGGAAATTGGTCAGCACTTGTTAAGGTCTTCCGTTTTTTTTTACATACCATCTTGGTCCATTCTTTGATCTCAGGGTCGTTAAAGGTGTCATACGTTTGGGCAAAGAAAGTTTTCATCAAATTGCGAATGATGTCAATAGTGACCGGGATCTCTGGCGATCTTGCCACATGTGCAATCACATCTGCTATCCTCCCAGAGCCCTCCAAGACCACACATGGTGTACCATTCAGCATGGCACTGTAGATGGTCTGCGAGGAGACAAAAAATGTAAACACAGCAGACAAAGACAGAGATGGAGAAAGAGAATTAAACTGACAACTCACATCCAGAGTGCCTGGTCCACCCTCCAAAACCACACACACCACTGGGATGGTTACACTATCTGGTGGTTAAACAACAACAACAACAAAATAAATTTTAAAAAGTAATCCACTTGTCATTTTGCTTTCAATATCATTGGTTAATATATTATCTATTAGTGTCGCATGCTGGGTTGTTAATCTACTTGGTTTTATGATTTTTGGGTATAAAGTGCATCTGTGTAATGTGCATCTCCTCTCGCTTGCAATCCGGAAGCGCTGTAGATAAAGTGACAACAACAAGTTACATGTGTAAATGTGTTTATTATACCTCTGAATTCACCAAAGCATTCCTGTTGTGAATTATTCCCCATGTTGCCACTCCAATAGCCACAATCTGACCTCGTGTGGAGCTACTGCTTAGGGCGTAGTCCCTCACAGCCTGCCCTACATGCTTCATCACACCTGCGTGTGTGCCGCCAGTGATGATCCATGCACCTGCATACAACACAGGATGTGTACAAATTAAACCTTACATACACATGTATTCATAAAACATGTCTTCACAAACTGTCTGGTTAAACATTGGTACACCTTGACATCACACATAAAAATGTCTCTGACCTGTTGTCTGGGCCACTTTGATGAGGCCTCTGTGGAACATGTTCTTGAGACGAGCCTTCAGATAGAAGTTCTTGGCTCCTCCAGTCACTGAGATCAGCAGGTTGGGAGGGGGAAGTTCCCACTGTTCAGTCAGTAATTGGTACAGGACATCAGGGCTAGTGTTTGTGGACACTCGTGCATACTGAGAATGGACACAAACACAGGCGCAGAGGCGACGATAAAGACTAACAGACACACATCTACATGTGTATATGTCATGTTACTATAAGTGGAGACAAGGGATTGTTTCACCTTGCCTGTCTTTTGTCTCAAACCAGCAAAGCTGATATCTCCAAAAGCATCCGTTGGCACTTCACGAACATGTCTGTGTCTATCCCATGTCTCCCCAATGAAGTCCTCTGACTTGATGGCTTCTTCCACATGATCAACTTTGAAGTAGCCACACTTACAAACATCCTCTTTAGGCTGCGGTGAACTGCGAAGAAACAGTAGCTTACACTTGTAATTCTTACATTTGCCAAAGTGGCACAGACATCAAAATAAAACAAAGTTGTTTATTTACATATAGACGTACTTCCTCAACAACTACTGACAAGGGTGGATCTAGAAAATTTTGGACGGGGTGGCCAGGTTGGGGCACAGACTCAGAAAGGGGTGGCAAATTTGAAATACATGTAAAAAGTAAATTAAATAATAATAAACCATACATTATTAAGAGATTAGGAGATGCACATAATGCTTTCTTGAGCTAACTTTGGCCCCTGGCTGGGGACTGTGGTCTCCACCACACCCAGGCAAATCACGGCCGTCCCCCCCCGTAATGCCTCTTCTTGCTTCAATACAACAGTATCTCTGTATTGCTGCAACAGCAACTGCAAGTTTCCCTCAGTGATCTTGATTACCAAGCAACAGTACAGAGCAGCTCAGCTTACCTGCCATCTTTGTCAAAGTAAAAACATTCCCTCTTGCAGATATTGTCCTTGATCCAGGAGGCTAAAGCATGGCGCTGCAAAGAAGGGGAGAGAGAATGTTGCTTAGAGTCTCTGGCTGCAGCAGTTGCTAAAGTATGAAGCAATTGTGACTCTACATCAGCTTCCCCCATCCTGGAGACAGCATGGAGGCTATGCTGCAGAGGTCTGCATCAGGCTGAGAACTGAGAGCACAACAGAGCAGCAGCCTCTGTGGTCAGTACTGTGGGTGGAGTCTTGCACTCAACACTGCATCAGCCTCAGGATATTTTACAAAGTAAGGTCTAGATATAATAATAGTAATAATCATTATTATTTACCTAAGTAAATGATTTTAGCACAATGCATATCTAAAGATAAAGGAAAATGATATGTAGGTCATATTTTCCCCACAAATTTGTTTCATGCATTTTCCAACATGCCTCTTTAGTACATCAGGGTGTATGTTCTTGAAAATACAGCACACCCTTATATTTGAAGTCTGCTTGAAATTTTACTTTACCATTATCATGCCAGCTCAGTTCTCACTCTGGTAATAATTTGATCAGAAGCAAAAACATGTGACAAACACTCACCTGTTTAATCTGAGAAACCACATGACTTAGTCCAAGTGTGTTCTCCTGCAGCTCCTTAATCACTTGCTGTGGGTGAACCTTGTTGTCAGATTTTGGTAGCATTTCTGAGGAAGTAAAGAAAAGAACAAGTCTAACACCGAGAGTATTTAATACATTCCTCTACACATTTCAGTCAGTACTTTCAGACCCCAGGTGGAAGGGATCTAAATGAATAGATCAACATTTCAGGTGTGGTTCATTACCATTACCTTTTCTCTGCCTTCAGATCCTTCTTTCATTTGAATAAGCAAAAGCAGCAACAGGAAGTCATTTCTGTTGCCTTGCTTGAACAAAGCACACTTTCACATGTGAAAGTCTGTGTTTCATGTCGTTCACCAGGTACAACACGTTGCCAGGTGACACCTCCAGAGTATTATACTAGGGATCTCATTACTGGAGCACTGGTTGACAGCGTGGCTAATAATAATCCTTATGGTTATGATCATTTCTGTGTGTGAGATAGTCCAGGTATTTGTTGCTAATCTGATACATGTGTGTTCCTGTAGACGCTGTCCAGAAAATCCTTTAGCTTAAAGTTAGAAGATGTAATAACTGTTTAGTAGTTAATCAGTTATGATCAGTAGGCACAGAAACATTCTGAACCACTGCTGCACATGAAGAACACACTCAGTTCCCTTACGGCACAATATTTATTCAACAATATACAGATTAATTTCTCTCTACATATCAGACTGATCTTCAGTCTTTTTTTTTATATTTATCTCACTCTCACCTTTGTACATTTATTTACAGGATTTAAAATAAGTCTCTCCATTTATACAGCGTCAATAGTACAGTATTATCACATCTTACAGCAGCTTCCCTTGAAGCATCTAGATTCATCACTGATCATCTGTTTATATTTCATACAACCAACTGATGTCTTTGAGCCACAGAGCAGCAAACTGACAGACGGGCTCAACATGCGTCTAAAGTCCAGGTTTCTCTCTGTGAGAGCAGTCGGATGACAAATGGATGGTCCTCTTGTTACACCCACATGAAAAAGGTCCTTCATTCTGTAGCACCACAACAGGGTGTATAAACAGAACAGTTAAATGGGGGATACTGCTGATACCGCACCTTAAAAAAAAAAGGCTTAAAATACATCTGCCCCTTCCCACCTGGCAAGGATCAGTGAAAGCCTGTTTACCAAAATGAAAAAAGGGGAGGAAAATGTTGCATAGAATCAATTCTGACCTCCAGAACAGAAATTTTGGTGCTGCCATTTTTTTTATAATGTGGATTTTTGATAAAATCCTGACACCTTCTGGAACCCGTAACCTTTTTTTGGCTTTGAAAAGAAAAATAACAACAATAAATAGCTGTACCCTTAAGACTTGAACAAAAACAGCATTGTGTTGGACGGGACATCACATAGAAGTACTAATTTAAAAGAGACTAAAACCCTGCATTGAGTGTATACACATTTGCTTGCTTGATCTATATCAATATATATATATATATAATTTTGATAACTATCATGAAGAGAGAGGGGGGTGGATTAAAGTGCATTATACTGTATGAAAAGGTCCACAGTTCTCACATGCAGGACAGGAAATGAACTTTGTGCACCAGCAGCTGTGGCTGTCCAAGTCCAAATTTCACACAATTTTTCACCACCTAGAGAAATTTTTCTGAAATGTAAGTGGACCCCATGAGGATTTCTGAGCTTGTAACTCTGCAAAAATGGATGGCAGACATAATTTCCAGACGCAGCTAAGTTTCAGTCATGTTTGCTGGCTGATGTTCATTTCCCACCCTGATCACATGCAAACACCACCAGACAATGAGGGGTGACTAAGTCAACATACAGTACTAACATGGCTGATGGTCATCTTGGTCAGGGATGCTCCTAGAAATGATATGAACACATCACCGGTTTTAAAACAGCAACAAAGGTGCTGCTCAGCAAAATACAGCAAATGGAAACACGGCTCACTGAGAGCCACACAGCACAGGCATGGCAGCAGACAGACCAGGTGAGAGCGTGAACCATAGGTGCGACACCCTCTTCTTCTTCCATGGTGCAGTCGAACAGGAGGTGGAGGAGCATAATGAGACCAAACAGCTGTCAATCAAGGCTTTTTGGCCTGAAGTGTTTAAGACTAAAACACACAAAGGACTCACTCAGGACCAGAAACAGCAGCTAGGTGTGTGGAATTTTCACTGCAGACTGAACTGACTGTTATATACATTAATTATTCATCCTAACTTTAAACAAGCACATGAGCAAGACATGGAAAATGATTACAACAGCTGACATCTACAGCACACAGATGCATAATATACTGCTTTTACATATGAAGTACACTGAGTCACACACAGTTGTGGTAGGTGAAAGGAAAAATTCACAGCAAGAAAACAAAAAAAAAAGTGAAGCTGCATCTAAAGGCACGCTGAGCCCGAGGTCCATCCCTTTTATTGTCCCTTAACCTTAAAATAAGACAGGTAAACAAAAGAAAGAGGCATTTCCACTTAAGACACCCAAGCAAAAAAAAAAGAAGAAATCCTTAAGTTGAGGATGTGTAATGGCACATCTGGCAAAGACAAGATTGAAACTTAGGTTTGGCTCATTGACTGTTTCACGAAACAGCAGTGCTTTGCAGGGCACTAAACATGCTGACAAGCATGCCATGTTCAAACCACACAGCCCAGGCAGGGTGCACTACAAGAAGGCTAGCTAACACTGTGCGTGGACGCAGGCATTAATGGCAGAGAAGATCCACACCATGCACGAGGATAAAAGAAAAATTGCACTTTGAAAATTACTTAAAAAGGAAAACAGGACATTTCTAGGGGAAATAAAATAATAAGGTCAATCCCAACATGATTGATTGTTAAGGACAGAAATACAAAAACAGTCATGTTCTTGTTTTGCAGCTAGATTTGTGCACAATATGATTGAACTGAAATGCGAGGTCTGGTTATTCAGTCACACGTCCTTACAGGAAATGCATTTTAGTGTCGTTACAGTTGCAGTGTGAAACCATATTGGTCCCCACTATATAATCTCCCAACTGGCCAAGCGCTCCAGTTTCAAACCTAGCAGGGTCGGTAAATCCTGCATCTAACTGGGAATCTAACTGGGAGACAGGTGTCTGAGTGGCAGGTGAAGACACAATGAGGTAGAACAAAATGTTTCATGAGCATCCAATTAGAGCACAAAACAGGAGACGATCAACGTGGTGACTGCTTATACGCAGTGACTAGTACAAACCTCCAGAGGGCAGTAATTCACCGCTTCTCAAACACAAGCCTCCACACTGACAAATGCCAACAAGTGCTTTCAGATGGAAGGACCCATTAAATGGTTTGAACCAAAATAACAATCCAGTATAAAATACAGCCATGGCCTTTAGCTTCAGACACAAACCTGCATGTCTACAGTGTTTTAATAGAGTTCTTCCACAAGATTCGGTTTCAAGTCACAAGACAATTTCTTTCCTCTTGTAGCTGCACAGTAGCAATTTCTTTGTCCAGTTAAAAGCTTGGGATGAGACAAACCTTAACCGTATTCCAGTTTGTTTTTAGAACAATCTTAAAAGTTTACTTTTATAAATCAAACCATATTAATTATTACTGTTATAATTACAGAACAAAATGAAGGTCAAGGTCTGAAAACTGGAGAATCATTTGGGTCCGACTCATTTTTGCAAATCACTGTTGAACGAAGTGAAGAAAAAAAAAAAAGACCTTCTTTGGATTGTGGTTAAAAAACTTTTTTCACTAAACCGTTTATACCTAATTAAAACAGCAATTAACAAGGAAGATAGTCAGCAAGAATGATTGCACATGAGCCCGGGGATAAGGAATGAAGAATCCTACTCTTCTCCACATGACGGTGAAGTGTTATTGCTGATTCATGTTGACTGATTCAGTCAGGAACTCAAACTAAATCTGAAATATCATAAATCCCTTGCAGCTAGT